ATAAAATGCCAGTTCTTGCAGTAGCTTTGACCCAAGTCATTTAGGTTTGGATCAGTACTTTTAATTCTGCTTGGATATGGATCGACAGCTAGTGGAGCTGCCATTACAAGGCCATGTGATCCTGTGACCAGCCCCAGTTAGCAATCTAGGTGCCACATTTTGGACATGCTTCTGTGCATATTTAAAAGTTTAATTTTGGTTAAATATCTCACTTACCTTGAATACCCTGTTAGGGTTGTTGTCAGTCAGTTCTGACTTGAAGGCATGTAAATACAACAACATGACTGTTTACACTGTAATACATCCAAGTCTTTAAGGTGCTACAAAATTCTTTGCTGTTTTTATTGCATTGGACCCGGTGTAGCTTTCCCGCAGGAATAAATGAGTGCTTCCCCCTATTATAGTTTCTCTATTGTTCCATTATGCTAGATTCCAAAAATTATTGGCAAGCTGACTGGAATTGACTTGACTAACTCTAATGCATATCATGTTGACATCTCTGATCTTTACTCAGAGTTGTCAACCCAACTGCAAGACGTCCAGCAAAGGATCACAAGGTTGCACTCAATGTTGCATGAGTGACCATGATCTTGGACAATGAGACTTGCCCTTTCTTTCCTCTCTGCTGCAACCTCCCTTGGCTCCAAACTATTCCAGAGGGTCCCCAAGCTTCTGGAGTATGTTTGGGGTTATGGAAAGGGCTGCAGGGAGGAGAAAAAGCCCTTTATACCAAGGGGGTACCTTCCATTGGCAGAAGGGCACAGGTGGGTACAATACGATGGACTTGGATCACTTTATATAAAACAGTTTTGTTCCCTTAATAGCCTAGTATATTATGCAAATGTATGCTGGTTTGCAATGAGCTTTCATATTTCAAAATGACATTGTAAATGAGGAGATCATGATGACCATTAATACAATGAATCTTATGCCACTGCATTGATTAAAAAGCTCAAAGACCCATTGCTTTGCTCCTGCTAGTTCCTTTGCCCCACCTATCCAAATGTGAAGAATTAATCCACCATAATAGTGCTGAATAATTCATTTCTTGTGGTGACATCCTTTTAGCCTTTGAAAGAAGAAAATGCTTCATATTTCATCATGCACACGTTCTCTTCCTTCATTTATCCCTCCACTTATGAAACATTCCTGTAGACCATTTGCAGGATAAATGGAAGTCTCAGCAGAGGGCAGTAATGTCTCCACAGAAAATGTTTTCAGACAGGGGGATGGAGAAGAAGCCTGTCTTTGTTAATGACATTGGCACTTCCTCTTAACTATCCTTTAGGGATGCGTTCCTGTCTAGCAGATGGATCAGCTATCTGTATTTCCATTCTCAGAATTGGTTCCAGTTTTATGGTGGCCTTGGCCAAAACGCCTTTGAGTGGCCCTACTTGTACAGTCAGAATCCCTTCAGTCTTCTCTGGCAGTAGTTATCTGGTAGCAGGAAACATCATTTCAATTTGCTGTAATGTTTCAGGGCATCCTACATGACTCAAGAGCAATGACAGAAGACACTCACAAACACAGATGCTTGCTGTGAAGGACTCAGGGAGGGCCTCAATATTTTCTGGGATCCCAGTTAATCATGGTGGGTCTAATAATTTGGTTATGTTTGGATCTGGGACCCAGGAAACAGTTGATTATCCTCTTCAGGAGCCTTCAAGTGGTACAGGGTTAATGACTGAACGACTGGCTTTCCTCCACCCTAATCTGTCTTCCAAAGCCAAATTGCCTCAATGAGAAACAGTAAAAAATGCTTAATTGTTGCCTGTCAAGTCCCAATAACAGACTTCTCATCTGGAATCCTCTTCACATGTCAACCCGCTTTGTAAACAGCCTTCTGTGTGTTTTCATATCCTTGCCCATTCCAGATCAGAAAACTTTCTTGGGTTATGGTGTCCTACTAGTTGGAGGTGGAAGGTTCCTCTCTGGAGGGCTAGTAACCTGATATGCTTCATAGCATATTCTTTATTGTCCCCATAGGTGCTCTGTAGGTGTCCAGGGTACCACACGGGTTACTGTATTTTTTCCTTACCCCCATTTATCCTCTGTAAAATCAACCTGTATTCCGTCCCAGACAAGTCAAATTGTGAGACTAGATTTCAGTGTCATTGCTGAGCTGACATTTTCACAGATTTTGATTTCATTAACATTATTTCTGCATTGCACTCAAAGCAGTGATTGAAGCTGTTTAAACACTTGGGATAGCAAGATGTTTCCAAATGATTATCTTGCTTCTTTTTGAAAAACAGAACAACACCCCTATTCTGAAAAAGCCTAATACTGTGATAGCAGATATTTGGCTCACCATTTCATCATTCAGAAAGGTACAACTTGTTTGCTAAACAGAGGATTTGAATCTGTCAGAGCATCATACAAGTTTTAAATTATCCAGAGAAAACAGTCTAAAATCCAAATGAACAATCATACGGAGATTACATACTTGGAGGCTTCTAGCTTTTAATGTGTATTGAATTGAGAGTGAACTGGGGTAACATAGGACAATCAAAATTAATATGCCACTTTGAAGTGCAAAAGCCAGAGTGGTGCAGCAATTGGACCTCTGGGCAAAGACGGAGGGGAATAGAGTTCAGATCTCCACTGACCTGCACAATACTCTCACAAGGTGGGCTCAGCTGAGAGTTGGTGTAGAACCTGCCTGGAGATCTAGAACTGAGCTAGGTACAGTATCTGGCTGGGGAGCCAGAGGCTGGGAGTTCATAAGAGCCAGCTTGTGTGTCCTTGGGCAAGCATCACAGCCCCAGGGTGCCCGCAGAAGAAGGGAATGACAAACTACTTCTGCCTAGAAAACACTGAAAAGGGTTGCTGTAAGTCAGAATTGGCCTGATAGCACACAATTACTATTATTAATAAAGGTATCATCTACCCTTGTCTTTGGATTGTATATGAAGACCATGTGGCTTTTCTTCCTTTCCTTTTTTGCAAGTCTAAAGAAGATGTCACCCACCCTTGTTTCTGGATTTTTCCCTTGGACTACATGGCTATGTTTTTTTCGAAGCTTGAGCAAAACGACATGAGCTTCTTAGTGTAGCTTTTCCAGCCAATACAGTTATAAGTTGGTGGTGGCCTGTGAGAGAAGCCTAATGTTTTGAGGTCCTTCCCAAATTGAGCATCTGTGAGTTGGCCTTGTAATTTTCCTTACTACCTATAGCCTATAAATGGAAGGCATGGAAAACCCATTTCCTCTAAAGAAAAGTGAAAGATACTAAGATATATGAAGGATATTTTCTCTCCCCATGTAGTTTCCTGAGAGGCACCCTGTATGGGATATAATGTACAGGAAGACTACCAGACCACTTCCCCCATCATGAAGATTCATTATGTCCAACAGAGCTCTAAGTGATTAAAGACATCTGAGAGGACTTTTGTTTGTTTGTTTGGCTAAAGCTTTCAAAATTCTGGTAGAGGGAATTCCTGCAGACATGTGGGGGCAACATCTGTGAAGATAGGTAGTATTCTGGAACCATAATAATCTTTCCTCAGTCATACTTTTCTGAATATATGAAACTGCCAAATGCTTTGGGATACTTTAGACATATAATAAGGAATGGCATACCCAATGCCCTGGTCCTTCAAAAACAAATGTATTCAGCAAACTCTAACGTATGCTTACCACGCCAATGTTAAATTATTACAGCATGTACGGGGTTCTCCACACTAGCTTATGACATGGCAAATGTCCATTGTTGTAGCATCAATTATATTGAATTGGGAACAAGGTGATAGGTAACGTAGAAAATACTTCCAAGTCCAACTTTGGCCAAAACTCAGTTCCTAACCTCAGCTGTTAATCCATTGAATCAGATGCTGAATCCCATGTGTACTGCTGTTGTAATTCCACCTGGGGCTATCAGATGGATTCAGGGGTGATAGTAGGCCCTACCATTTCAGTTCAGGCCCTTAAGTGTCATAAATTCCTTGCAAAATGAACCTTTGGTCCATTGAAGCCATTTTGTTATAAACGCTTGCCTGTGGAAGTGTATTCAGAGCTGTGCTCGGTGTGGAGCTGCCCTTGGAAGTGGGCAGCTGTCGCTAGCAGGACAAATGGCAGCCTGCCTTTATGGGGAGTGAAATGTTAGGGCTACAGATTCCTTTTATTCTTTCCCAGCACCCATTTCTGAAGGACATGAGGGAAGGGCACCATCATGCTCATGCCCTTCATGAGAGGGCATGAGCAGAGATGTACAGAGAGGGGAGGTTTCCTAGATCATCTCAGCGGGCTATCATGGTGAAGATGAGAAGTGTGGAAAAACAGTGGCAGGCTGATTCTACAGAGGTTTGCAACTGACAACCACCCCACTTGTACTGTTACAACATCGCCTGTAGCCTGACACTTTTGGGGTGCGTGTCTTTATTTGCTAAGATTCTCACCTGCTGCCTTTTCTCTGTCTCTCTGGTGGAAGGTGGAAACCATGACATTTCCTCCTGTTATGTTATTGTTCGCCTGCTCTCTATGTGTGATACAGTATGTTCCTTATGTTTTGGGATGAATGCATTTGTCAACAGGTGCACAGGAGTTACCTGTTCCTGTCAGTATGGCTAGAATGAGAACTTGGAAACACTTTTCTTTTTTTGAATGACAGCTCCCAGAACGCCGCAGCAAACCTCTGGGAACTATATTATTATTGTAAATAAAAAAAAAACCACTTTTGAACTCTGGCTAGGAATGTGCTTAGTGCCACCCTTCTTGCTTGATTTTATCTAAGCAGTGAAGCCTTTCTGTGCTGCTGTTGCCCTCCACCAGTGACTTCTGAAGCTGCAGGACTGCAAATGACCTCTGGACTTCTATCCATATATATTGCCGTGCTGTCATGCCTGTGAATTTCTCTGTAAGCTGTTCTTCTGTAACAGAGGGACATCATTCATCTGTTATTGGAACATACTTTTTAAAAAATCAGCAGTCCTCTTCCTTGGTACATTCCTTTTAGTCGTACTAAAAAACAAAGAAACAAAGAATCCAGAGACAACATTGAAGGTAGAACAGTCTGATTTTATTACTTTATATCATCAAGAGACTTTATTTTTCTTCCCTTGCCTTTCCCCCTCCATGTGCTATTTTTAAAAAAATCTTACCCCTCTCCCACTTTCCTTTTTTTTAAAAAAAAACACCCCCCAACATACATTAAAATGTGAATCAGATGTTAGGGAGACGTGAAGATGAAGGCAGGTCTGTGACATCATAATATTTTACAACGTTACAACAAATGAGACTTGGTTGTGTCTACCAGAGTATAGCAAGGGTGGAAAGCAAAGGCACACGTAGGTCTAAGGACCTTTTCACACAAAGGGAAGGTAAATATGTGGGGAGGCAGAGAAAGTTCTGAACAGAAAGCACACTGGAGTACAAAATGGGCACTTGAAGGTCAACCCAGTGGTTGGCGTGATGTATTCTATATTACCAAGGGAGGTCCCTGCACAAAGCGGCAGTGATGATTCATATCTCTGTTATGACACAGTGCTTTGCTCAGATGTAGCAAAGTGGCACCATGTCCTTTGGGACTCCAAGAGGTTGAGCTGGGGAGGGGAAAACCTGCCTTCCTCCTTTTCTTTCATGATGAATCCCCTGAAGGTTAGGAAAAAAATCAGCAGGGAGTAAAACAAAAATCCTGAACAGAAGCACTGCTTAGACTCTCATATGCACAGTGGCACTAACTGTGAACAAACCAGGTTAATGAGCAAGAGACAAAAGGAGCAGATAGGGAGGCACCCCTGCTACCCACTTTGGTTTTGATTCTTCAGACCTTCTGAATGGGTCACCCATGCGCTGCTAACCAACACGAAGACTTTCCTTTTTGTTTCTGACAACTTCAAATGCCTTCCCTGTTCCAACAAAATAAATCCAAAGGAAGTATATATATAAAAAATTCTTTAAAAAAAAAAGTCCTGCCCCAAAGAAGTCCAACCCAAAAACAACACCCTCCCCTTCCACACATTCTGTCCAGGCAATATAAAACACACACATTCTGGGTTTTTTTTCCTGTTTGTCTGTTTTCTTTCTTTTTTTGCTACAGCATGTTGACACAGTTATAGGAACAGATTAAAAACAAAAGCTATGCTTGTGCACAAGCAACGGCAACATAGTCAAAACACACATACCCCCACACACTCTGCAACCATAGGCCCTCTCCAACCCAACAAATGGGATCTGATCAAATCAACATCAGATCTTGCGCTTAAAGAAACAAAAGGGTTTTGTAGCTCCCTACTGGATTTGCCCTTCTTGTAAGAGTTAACAGTAAAACAGCAGGAACCAGCCTGCTTTCTTATTTACTTCCGTTTCATTTCATGGGCCACCTGTTTGCCACACATGTGCCTAGGATTTGTGCACCAGACACAGACCTTGTCTCCAGCTGACACTCTGGACTTGGCGACAATCCACTCGTGACGTCTTGCTGGTTATGAATAATAAGGACATAATCACTAAGCTGAAATGATGTGAAAATAGTCAGGTTGAAGGAAATGCTGGTCACAGTACAGCATCTATACTGGCATCAATAGCCCGAGATGGTTGGAGAAACAACACAGGAACAACTGGAGCAAGGTTATCAATCTGTCTTCTTACAAGTCAGAATGTTGTTTATTCCAGTAATCACAACATTCTTCTGGGAACGGCAACTGCCCATTTCCCAGTTCTCCAGGAGGATGACTGAGGGACGGAGAAATAAATATCTGATTTATTATAGGGCAAGGTGGTATACACTACAGCTCACAAATATGCACAACAGAGGGTGTAAGGCACAAATTTACATGTGGAAGAAAATAGGCTATTCACAGATGTAGTCCCACAAACAAAAACCCGTGCACTAAGACCAAAAAACAATATGCATGGCAGAAGCCAGCATATAAATGAGTTCACACTGTTTGTGGGATTGTTGTTTTGTTTTGTTTGCCATTTCACATGCAAGGGTGAAATGAGATGGCAGAGAACAAGCTGGTGCTTTCACAGAACAATATTATTTATTGACAAAAAAAACCATGTTCACAGCTACTGGGGCAGAGGTGTGCAGCTTTCAAAGAGCTTCCTCTGTAGGACATCACTGGAGGATGAGAGGAGCTCTGAGGAGGGGAGGGCTTGGTGGGAGGGAGGTTGGCTGCTTTGTTGCTGCTTGACACAGAGGCAGGGAAGGCCAGCCTGTGAAACTAACTCAGATGGAAATCAATGCTCCCCTCCCCCGCCCTTGCTTTTTGTTTGCCAGAAAGAGATCAGAGAGTCCAAACACAAAAGTTCAAAATTCCACCTCCATCTTATTTAACTCAGTGAATTTATTGGAAAAATAAAAAGAGTATTAATTACTCCAGTTAATGGGTTTCACGTTAAATAGGCATAATTTTCAATGCATTTTGTTGTCGTTGTCATTGTTTTTCCCTTCTTGAGAAAGCTGCTCATATGATGATATGCAGAAGTAATTTCCTTAGGAATTAAAAAAAAATCAAAAAGGATGAACAATAAATAATAGGAGTTACTTGCGTTAACAGTCACATGTTATTCATTAAAAGACAAAAGTAGCAGAGAAACCTATGACAGAATTGTGGCCCAACATGGCAATCTGCTATAACCAAATGGCTGTAACACTGATGGGCATTTCACAGTACCTGCACATAGTAAAAGTCTGCCACAGTTCAGTTAAGAGTTAGCTTAATCAATGAATTCCTTTGCTGCTGTTGGTGGTTCTTTTCCCTATTCTTTTTGCTTTCAAAGCACCCATTTTTCCAGTTCTGGGGTGCACTGTGCAGTTGAGAGTGGAATTATCACAGTCATCATTCGTGTGTGTGCTTTTGGCTCAATGTTTGTGGTTAGTCTTTTGAGTAAGGACCTGTTGCATTGTGGGGGGTGGGTGGGTCCTACAGTTGCAAAACCATGGACTGCATGGCCCGATGGTTAAAAAATATTCCACTTTTCCCAGAGAGCAGGATATTCTCAAGTTTGGCAGCCTCCTGGTCAGCTGATACGATCAATGTGGCTGCCAAATGCTGGCTTTAAAAGAACATACTCTGGTCCCCTGCTGTTCCCCGCCCTGCCCCACCCCACGGTGATTATGTACATGCATCATTAGGCTTCATGGATGCTGACAGCGGGGAAAAGGAAGGCTTGGGGGGTACATCGGGTTTTAACGATGGTGTGCGTTTCAACCCTGATCTGGTCAGCGAGTTGTACGTGGTGAGACTGGGCTGCCTCGATACAGTCATGGTCTGACCCTGAGCAGCATGGACTTGTATAGAGTCCACTCTTTGTGGAGCAGGAGGAGGGTTGTCTCCCCTGCCAAAGCTCTGATTTCGTGAGAGGTGGGAGGAATTAGAAGAATTAGTATTATTCCTTTTGAGAGTTGATGTCTGATGATTTCTTGTAAGCGAGTTCGTAGGGTAGTTTCGCTTGTAGTCCACGTTGTAAGTGGAAGAATGCATTTCCAGTCGCTTGCCCAGACTGCTCTGAGCGAGTGAAGACCCAGGGGGGCCCAGTGAGGCTTCCCTCTGGGGTACTTTTGGTGGCATGCTATCCAGGTTTTCCACCAAGTTTACCCCGTGGTTGGGGCTCTTGCTGCTGAGATGCTCCTTGATAGTTTTGTACTCAAGAGTGGCATTTTGGTCCTCCATCGCTATCTGTGTCACATCGCTCATTTTTGGCTGATCAACGTACTCGTGCTGGTAGCCTTGCTGAGAGACGGGCAGGACGACAACACTCGAGATGTGACTGGGAGAAGCCCTTAGTGGAAGGTCTGTGGGGATCACGGGTGATGCCATTGGGGGGATATCTTTCGTACAAGCATTGATGAGGTTCTGGTTTCTTTCCCAGTCCTTGCTGCCACGGCTAGGCTTCCTCTTCTGCTGAAGTGTTGGGGTGGACTCTGGTGTTGGTAGAGCAGCTAGGTCTAAGTGATGCTGATCAGCTTTGATGAGCATCTTGGCAGTACTGCTTGGGGTAGAAAGTTTGCCGTTGTGCATCAGAGGAGTGAGAATGGCTTCGGGCTTCGGCTCTTTCGACTGACTGTCTCCAAAGAGGCCACTGAGCTTTGTGACGCTACTCATGGAGCCTCGGCGGGACTGGACCAGTTCCTTCTCCTTTCTCTGCACAATGGTCACATCTCTGCGCCGATGGTCACAGATGCAGTAGACTATGATCCCCGAGAAGACAGCACCCATGACAAAGGCAAGGATAACTGCAATGGCCAGGAGGGTGACAGGCACTAGCTGATCATGCCCTTTGAGGTAACTCTCACGAATCACTCCTGCAACAAATATCACAAAGTGGTAAGCAGAAAAGTGGTGTGGGAGTGGGGACACATACATAAAATCATAAGTAAGCAGTTTAGAGACATTAAGACATTGCAAGTCCCATATTGCTAAAAAAACCCTGTTTTGGATTGCAAACAATTCAGAGGAATCAAGTACAGCGCAGTACTTTTTTGAACTACAATTTCCAGATTCCTCCTGCCCGCATGGCTGATGGCTGCTTCAGTTTGAGAAACAAGATAAAGGCACTTAGACACACAAAGATAGTTCTGTTGTCCTATACACAGAGCTATCTAAGATCATCTGCATCCCATCTGGGCAAGTCCTCACTAAAGTTACAGTCTATCTCTCTCTCTCTCTTCCAAAGATTCTAGTTTCTTTTGCAATCATATTATTTAAAAGGGAAAAGTAAAAAAAAGAGCAGCTCTCCCCAATGTGTTTGTCTTTGTGGACCAACTTTTTTTCAGAGATCTCAAATGCTTCAGCAGAAATTTCACCAGGGCTCCCAATGAATCTCCTGTCTGAAGCAAAGGGCAAGATTGTCCCCCCCTTCCATTTTACATGTAGAAGCCAAATGGATTGGCAAATGAATCTTACTTCCATATGGACAAAAGAATAGAGTCCTCTGCCACAGCACACAAGGGCAGCAGCCTACTTTAACAGTCTGCATAGTGCAGTCCGCTCCATTCAAAAGATGGGAAAAGCTGGTAGGCTGCAACCTTTGTTGTGTGGCAGACAAGAATAGCTGTGGAGTCTAGGAGTAAAAGGAATAATAACCATACTGCATATCTGTCAAAATGTTGAAACTGGTTTCACAGAGGGAGGAAACTAGTTCCTTAAATTCAAATTGCTATATAGTCATGTTGTGCTTATAATGGTAGAATTTATAGTTTCAGAGGACAGTGCAGTTTTCATAGGGACAGCAGCTTCTTGCTTTTAGGGAATCAAACATTTCAGAATCACTGCTCGACAGTGTATCATGAGAGGAACTCAAATGTAAAAGACAAATGTGCATTCTATTTGCAAGTATTTTTAAACAGTAGATAAAGGAGGATATCTGGTTTTAAAAGTGACAGTTTTTTTGCACTTAGTCTAATTACTCTAGCTCAGTTGTACTGTATGTGCCTGTTCACAGGAAAAGTTATTAGCACACATTTTTTGCAGAGTCTAATTACTCTAGCTCAGTTGTTTTTAAAAAAATAGGATGTATGTACATGTTCACAGGAAAAGTTATTAGCACACATCGGCAGAAAAGAGACGTGAAGACTGCAAGGCCTTACAAAGGGGTTCTATGCATTTTTTTTCTTTTTGTCACATGTCCGAAAGTCCAAAATAGTCTTCCCATATTACAAGGCGGAGTTTGTCTTATCTGTAATCACAGAGAAATGATGGAAAAACACCAAGGGAAACCTTCATGTCTGAGCTCACTAATAATAGATTCTGGAATAGGTTAGATATAGAAAGAAAATCTGGAATTCTGGTGGAATCCTTGCTATGGTCCATTCTTTGGTGAATGAACATGAAACAAACCTGGCTGTGTGGCAATACTACGTCCTTCTAGCATTTCACAGATGAAAATAAGCATCTTCTATTAGACATGTAACTAACCTCTATCTCACATCAACAATCACTACCTTCCCATGTGGATCCTCGGGAGGCAAAATGGGGCCCCAGAAAATCCTAAGAGAGGTAGAAATGTGCTTGGAGCAGCTTCAAGATTTACAAAACAGATAGGAAGACCCTGGTCAAAACCTATGGGAACAAGCTAGAAAGCAAATAAATATACAGTACTCTAGTGAGAATGAATCACACTCTGAGCCTATGGGAATTTGAATGGCAGTTAATGATCTCAGAGCCTACAGCAGGGCTGGGCCACATGTAGCTCCCTGTTTGTTGCTGGACTACAACTCCCAGCATTATTCATTCTTAGCTATGCTAGCTAAGGGTTGCTGGGAATCACAGTCCAATGGCATCTGGAAGGCTGTACTCTGGCCACCTGGCCTCTTGCCTCTTGGAAGGAGCCATACCGTTTGGCCAGAGCTCTAAACAAGAATTCTTGTTCAGAGGTGAGGTTGTCCTGCAAGCCCCTTTGCACAGTGACACAGTTTACTAGGTTGATAAACAACAGGGATTGTTTCCGTGATACAATAGTGCTAACTGCTTATTACAGCCGATTAATATAGGGATCTCAGCAGGAATCAGTTTTCTTTATTCCAATCCAAACAGCATTTTTTTAAAAAAAATTACCTTTAATTAAAAAATTATCTGCCAACATTTTTGCTCCTGTCCCCCCGATCCACACATACAAAAAAAGAACTTTTAAACATCCTCTGAGTTCCAGCAATCCAGTGGACAGAGTGGCAGGGAAACTCAAGAGTGCAGTGTGGTTTCCACAGTAGGAATCTGTCACCTTCTTCTTGGTTTCCAGCCTAATGTGGGCCAGATGGTAATGGAATAACTTCCCTCTCTCCACAAATGCTGGCAAACGTGGAAATGGAAGTGAGGCTCAGTAAATGAAATACAATGTGATTTTTGGAAGGGACGAAGAGGAAACTGCTAATTGGGGTATAAAGTTTCAATAACGAAATGTACTATGGTGAGGAGGCAGGCAGGCTGTGAGTAGTAAACGCACCAAGCATGGCAGTTATTTTAAGCTTCACATATTGAAACAATGCCCACTGTGGTTGAGTGGGAAGCGGCCCACATCCACTTCCACCAGCTGCAGAATCAGCCACATGTAGCTGAAGACAGATGTCTCATCTGCAGACAAATAAATTTACTCTACTTTTCCCAATTTTATTTGTTCAAGGTCCTCTTATGTCCCAGTAATGGGCTTTTAGTGCCCTTAGACATCGTCATCCTTTCCCTGGAACTTAGTGAATGAAGCCTTCAGTATCTCTACAGTCATGGTCATTGTGTTTCCACGGCCATGTGTCCTATGATTGTTTCAAGGCAGGAAAGCTGCATATAAATTTAGCCTTCCCTAGCTTCGCCTGCCACCTCAGAATTTCCTAGGAGTGTGAAATTAAAACAGATGTGACTCATATTATGGGAAAAGGGGAAGGGGAATTGGGCATTTGACATGAATTGCTCTTTATTGAGATTTAAAACCAAGAAATGCTTGAATGAAAAGAAATTGTGCGAGCCTCAAAACATATGCAGAGAAAGATAAAGTATCTGGCACACTCTTTGTAAAGTCACACTTGAGAACACTTCTGTTCTAAAGATTCAGTGTCTTTTCAACTCTTAATCCTTTGCTGTGGTTCTCTTCAAGCTTTATACACATTATAGGACCTTTCTGCTACGCTTGGGATGAGCTAAAATACAGCCAGCTGTTTACTTTGGGAGAACTCAAAAGCAGCTGGGTTTCATTAAGATTTAGATATATGAGTATAGCTCATTGCAGGATTCCTGGCTAATTGCAGTGCATCTCTTCTCTTCATGGACCCCTCTGCAAGGCATGCTATCCGTTTGATGGTGGAAAACACATATAATGCCTTCTACTGACTCCTCTGTGCAGATATAATCAATTCCATTATGGATTCTGAGTCTCTTCAGAGTGCTCACAAAAGAGTGCTCACTCCCTGTCCTGACTGCGACCCATCTGCTCAGGGAGGAAATACGTATAGCACAAGCTGACCCTCAAAAAAGATGCTAGGCTTAGCTCCCTAAATCACTAGGAGCATCTCAAAACAACAAACCTAAGCAGAAGAAAGCAGAGTTAGTTTTCTCATTTCTCTATTTAACACATGAGGTGTGGCATTAGTTTATCTAATCCCAATAGCTTCACAACAATGGAACTATTTCTTCTGCTTCCAGCATCCAGGCCCCACCTATGCATGGAAGAGGGCAGCTCAACAGGAGCATTCCATTCTGCATTTTTAAAATCTATTTTTTTAAAAAAAATTGATTTAATTCCCACTTTAATTGGGACTAGGTTGAATGTTTCCCCTCAATGAAGTAAAGTGTGCCGCCACGAACAAGAAATAAAAAGAAGCTGCAAAATTGTTTGGTTTAAAATTGCATGGCAAGTTCAAGCCTGCTTCTCTTCCCTGTTTGCTAGGTCATACACGAGAGACCATATGAGGGCAGGGAGTGTTGAAGGAATAAATAAATAACTTTAAAATACCTTTTACTCCCTTCCTACATCCCTTCCTAAGCCAAGCCAAATGAGAACAGGTTGAACTAATTATCCAGCCTTTGATTAAATATCTCAGGTAGTTAATTAATGAATATGTGCCCTATACTGCATATCCTCAGAGATTTCTGGAAAAGTGCTAATAACCTGTCTTAAAAATTAAAGAGAGAGAGAGAGAGAGAGAAATGCAGACTCTGACTCTTGGAATTAGTCCTCTCAGTTCAAAATTTGTGATTTATTTGAGTTAATGATGAGAGATTGATGTAGTCTAGTGGCAGAAAATCAAATATACAAAGCATGATACTGAAAGTATTTACTGTGTCTATTTAGTCACAGCAAGCAAATAGGTTTGCTGAAAGATTAACTGCTTCTAGGAAAGTAATATGACAAAAGAAAAAGAAAAGGCACATTCTCTCTTTTTGGATGAACATACAGTATATTTGGATCAAAATCAGGTACCTGAAGTAAATCGAAAGGGGAGAATGTGTGCAGAAGAGAGGGAAGATTAACCGACTCATATTTTGCAACGTTCTGGCCTAAATTCTATTGCTGGTCTCAACTAGAGTAGGGCCGTTGAATGATGATTCAACACTTCTATAATTGTCACTGATTAAATGAGAGTACTCTAGTTGTGACTACCAGTAGGATTCTAGCCTCTTATGAACTTGAAAACATTAAGTGAACCCAAAATAATTTCAACTAGAAGCATAACACGCTCATGTGATATGCTTCAGGTCATAAGTACCCAGAGACCTTTGGGTAGAGTGGGCAGCATATAAATAAATAATGTCCTACCTATGGTCATCCTGTAGTGCCTGTTGTAATGGACATTTATATAAAATAAAATAAATAAATAGT